TGGTACTTTAGGCGAAGATGTCCTTTTCTATCGTTTATATAGTTTACATAGGTTTGTCCTCAGATGTACATAGGCCTAGTTGCAGGCTTAAACTGTAATTTCCACTCTCAAAACTGTTTAGAAAGGGTGTTCGGTTTTCTTTCTTTTTATGAGTTTTTTTTATCGCAAAACGTCTCTGCGATGCACGAAATTGTCACATCTGGTCCTCAATATTTTTTTTTCTTCTGTTATAGATGGTCTTGCACGTTAGCCTCCGCACATCACCAATTTGCATGTATTATGTAATTCAGCAATTGAAATCTCACCACAGTTTTTGAATAGGGCTTTGCCACTAATTGGATCCCAACTTACCCAATGATGGTTTGGATATGCAAAACATCATGAGATATCTGGCCTATGATTTCTTTCAGGTGTATGGGCCTTAGGTTAAAAAAAACAAGAATCTGTCTGGTTTGGGTTGCCTAAACCTCAACTTGTAGGGTGTCACTGTCACTCAAATTAGAGCCAGCTACTGTTTCTGTTGTGAGAGATTACTATGAATGAAATTCAATGCCTAGATAATATTATTGGTTACTTGATTTTCTTCTGGCTATTAAATTCAGTTTGGCAAGAGCTCAAGCGTGAATGAAGGCCACGGTTTTTCCATGGTGTTGTGTGATCTGTATGTCAACATGTTAGAAGTTTGTGGGGTTGAAATGGGCTGCAAGTCTCTGTATGGAGTTAATGCATGCGGCAAAATGGTAGTTAAACACTTGTGAGACACACCATGCTTCATTAGTCATAAGCTGGTTTTAGACTAACCATCCATAAATAATTCAATCCCCACATGCAGTTAGGTGCTCACTTCAACTTTGGGGACCCCAGGCTACTATATATATATATACACCAAGTTGATTTGATTTATGGTTTGATGGAGTATCGAAATATATATACCTTTTTACTTTTTTTTTTTTTTTTTTTTCAACATCAACTTCCACTAGTGCGGGATGATTGAAAGGTAGCAAATACTTCACAGATTTCTGAATTTCACTGGCTCTTATAAACATGGGAAAATATATGAGATTTTATTGAATCAAACTCTCTGGATTTAAATTTAACGAGTATGCATAAGAAAACTTTGGAAAATGCTACCTAAAAACACCAATAATCTTCAGAAAAGGAACCAACCCACACCAACCCACCCCCCCCCAAAACAAAAAAAAAACAAAAAAAAAGGTATGTTTCCTGGCAAACCGACTTGGACTTGCCAACTTCAATTTGGACCATAAAGATTTGAAGAGAATTTAAAAGCCACTTTTCAACTTGAATTTGTACGGACATGTTATCTACTTGCATGGACAAATGCCATATACATGCACATACAGTCTCAAATTTCCTGGTATAGTTTTGTTGGTTGAGCTCTTTCATCTTTACTTATATTGGTAGAGGTTCGAAACTCCAGATACCCAATCAATATTTGTGTGTAAACTCCCCTCCTCACCCAATCGCTTGTACTAAAATAAACAATCCCAAATTCCCAATTGAAAATATGAAAGAAAACCAAGATCAGAGCAAGGGAAAGTTGTTTTACATATCAAACCACATATGAGCTCACCATTTTAGAAAATTTTAATTACAAAATTGGGTCATCACCCACACCAAATTAAACTCTGCAAACAAAGAAAAACAAAAAGAGTTTGGATTTTGAGACTCATCTATCCATCTCATTTACTTCAGGGCACTCCATGATACTCTCCAAAGAAGGCTTCCACCCTTCCTCAACTTTGGCTCTGCTTCTCTGGATCTCCTCCAAAACATCTTCCAAGCTCTTCCCTCCTCTATCTTTCAGCTGAATCATCAACCACTGTAGCTCTTCCTTGGTCAACACAATCTTCACCCTTATGTTGCCATCTTTGCTCAAATTGCTCTCTTTCACAAACCTAATTTCATTTTGTCTTTCTTCTTGCTCATCCTTTTGCTGCTGCATTTGATCCTCTCCTTGGTGCCTCTCTGTGCATGTCTCCACACAATTTCCCATGGTCTTGGGTTGTGTCTGCTACAAAAATAATTAAGAACAACTCTTTTTGTTGTTTTAAATCAAAACCATTAAAACCAGTTTTGGACACAAGAAAAATCAGGCTTTGATGGAGAAGTAGGTTAATGTTGAAGTGCTTTTTTCTGCTGGTACATATGCATAGCTAGTTAGAGCATGTAATGGATGAGAGAAGGGAGCTAGCAGCAGTATTTATATAGGTGTGAAATGGAAGAAATAAAATAAATAAAAACAAAGAAAAAGATTACGTAGACTTGTTTCATTCACGAGTTTTGATTCTTCTAAATTTAAAAGTCAGAAAATTCTTATGTCACTGCCCATGGATATGTCTGCCTGTGACATTTCAAGGCCCAGTTGCTGCATAATGCATAGCTAAGCGTTCACAAGAGTCGCAACTGTTGTCGATATTTTTGTTATAAAAAAAACGGACATTTTATTACAATCAACTGATCTAATCCACATCTAAATACAAATTTTTTCGAATTTTTTCTTTTGGTTATCACAGAAGTTAATGATTAAAGAGCAATGACAGAGCAGAACCATATGTCGGCGCATGGAAATTACTATTCTTCATATAAACAATGGAGGCACGGGCCAAATAATCATTTTATCACAGTTCGGCCAAATCGGGAAGTACTTGCAGCCACCAAATTATTGATTGAAATATTTGAAAATGCAAACTACGCAACAAGAACAGAAGAAAAAACCCTCTTTGTCACGGCACTAAATTTGATAGCGAGAAATGCTTAAACATGTTTAACGAATTATGCCAGATTCTCACAGAAAATATTAGGAAGAATTCGCATCCACTTTTTTCGGAGCCCAACATGTGCATAAGAATTTTTGCTTCTACTCTACTCCCATTTTCCGTTATCAATTTCTTCCTAATATTGCAACAACAGTTTTCCCCCTTTCGCGGACAATGTGAACATAATTTCTTGGAATCTGTAGGCTAAATCTAAAGAAGTTTCATGTCCAAAATTCATGGACCCCATTCCCCGACAAGTCACGGGCATACAGCAAGGCTATAACCTAACCTCTTCTGCCAACCATGATATTATAATACAAGGTGCCAAAATTAATAGATATATAGCCACAAGTCCTGTCTTTTCCATAGTCTACTAGGGTTTTTGTTTTCTTCTATAGCATCATCAAGCACGGATGATTGGGGTGGGATGCATAAAAATATAAAAGATTTTAATTTACGAAAATACATGGAAAATTAGACAGCCTCACGCCGACACCATTTCTATTTTTTCTATAATTTTGCCTACCCAGTCATAATTTCCCTCTATTTCAGCAAGTTTTTTCTTTTTCTATTATC